CCCCCCCTCTTTTTGGGTACATGCATCTCCTTAACCGTGGATTCTGTAATTACATAAATAAGGTAGCGTCCGGTGAGAATTTATGCTTTCATCCTTTGTTGCCGTTAGATATCTAAGCGTTGCGTGATGATGCATTTTTTTAAAATAGTAGGCTAACTCTGCAGCTCTTCTACTTTTAAATTTAAATGGGATGTCATAGTTTCTAAGGGTTCCCTTGACTCCTACAATCCATCTTTTGCGTAGCCTACAGTCATCTTCCATCATTATAGCCTGAATACTTGACGTGGTGTTATAAATGAGAATTTATAAACCGCAGAAATATGTCATGTACATGTGAAAGAGAGAGAAGGAGTCAATGATAGATTAAGATAGAGATGTTCTTGTTTATGCTGATGGTGATTATTTTTGAAACCAGTTCGTACTGTGTATTACTAGACTCCTGGATATTGTGTTATAAATTATGTATAAGATGTTTTTGAACTTCTGTATGTGTGTATATTTTGTCTTTTATATATAAAAATACAGTGCATAATATATATAGGCCTATATAATGTAAATGTATGGTACTTGGCTATGTAATATCTATAATGCGGTCTACATCTACCATTATCCTTATTCACCAGGCATGACCTGTGTGAAGATCGACCTGTCCGTCTTGGGCGACAAAGCGGGGCAAATAAACGTCATCTTTGAGCGGCATCACTACGGGCTCTGTGACACTAATCCAATCGGCTGATTTGCTTGCCATAACACAGGAGAATAATGTCGTTTCATTCTTGCAAGTGCTGTGCTTTTGAACCTTTTTTCGATGTCATTCCCTGAAGTTTTTATAAATACGATTAAACTGACCATTGACTTGGGGTTTTGTAACTAACCACGATGTGTCTCCGAGTTGCATTTAAGAGCGATCAAGACTAAAGTGGTTATCTTTCCTCAGGAATAGAAAGGGGAAACAAAACACTGAAAAGGTAAATAAAGGATATGACTTACCAAAGCTCACATCAATCACACACACACAAACACATTCACCTAAAATCAATATCCCTTAGTAATGTCAACACTCTTATTTGACAAGCTGAGGACAAGCCATTAATAGGCCACTCTCTCTCTCCCTCTGACACAGGCGGTATAAGAAACCAGAGCTAACGAAAACCGAACTAATAATATTCTTTTACACTCACCCAATTAAATATCATGAACATAATATATTTTTAGTACACTTCTATCCTCCCTTGAATTTGAACTTTTATATGGTGAGGGAATACTATATACATCTTGTACATACATAGTCCTCTACACTCCTGAAATGTTGCTTTTCATTACTCATATAGCCTGCCAATGCTCGAGGCGCTAAGAAAAAAATATTGGCCAACCTTAGGCAGAGACCCAAAACTATCGAGACCTGGAGGACCAGTGGCGAACAGCAGCATTCACACTTGAGATTGGGATGTTCATTTAGTTTAGTTTTGATAGTAGAGGTTTTACGGCGCTCGCAACTGCATACAGTCATATGAGCGCTAGAAGATTAGAGGTGTTACAAGAGAGTAACAAACATAAAAAAGAAGGGGAGATAAGGACGATAGATGTTTGATAGGAAAGAAGAAGCAAACCACACTAGAGCACCCGCCAACCACCCACTTATGGTACTTGCAACACAATAGGGCCATTTAACGGCTGAAGATTAAATATGTTACAAGAGCATAACAAACACAAAAAAGAGGAAGGAGATAAGGACGATAATCGAGAGAAAAAAAGTGGCAAACCACACCAGATCAGATAAATCTCAACAATTTTTCTATTGTTCACAAACCGTACTGATAATTAGATATCACGTATACATGCACACTTAATAAACACAGTAAACTGAAACACAGGTAATATAAGAAAACACTGACAATGAGAAATGAATTATATATTCTTTTATTTTTTTTTATTTGATGTTCTTGAACGAGAAAAAAATATACAGAAAAGAAGAGGGCCAAGTCGGAGGAGCTCGACAGTGAGTCGGAGAGTGGTGGAAATAACGAACAGGGGCTGGTGTCTGTGCACACGTGAGTGATTCGGACCACACTGAGCAGTAGACACATCTAGAGGGGAGAACAGAGGCTAAGTATGATAAGTAGCAGTAGTAATCTTGACCGCCGCCATCTATCTGGTGGAGGGGGTACAGGAATAGGCAAAGGGAGACAGTAACCCACCCACACCAAACCAACGTCCCAGCGCCGGCGACGCTACTGTCATTGAAGACACCAGCGTAGTGTGAGTGATATGTATGTGTATTTGAAAGCACAAGGGGGTTTGGACTGGGGGGTGGGCTACTCTTTCCTTTTGTCGAGGAATGCAGGGGACGCTACTCAGGATAGTGCTGCTGCCGCACTCTTGCCTCATCTCACACAGCTCAGAATTACCACTTCATTATCAGTCTTCTGACGCTCAGCTAGACAAAGGAAGGGTCTATTTGATGCTAAAGCACTTGGCAACCCCTTGCTGTCGGGTTACCTTGCCCAAAGAAAGGTTTAAAAAATATATATAATTCTCACGACTACATGTACTACAATGAGCTACCAAACTTCATTTTTAACAGTTGAGAAAATTTTCTAGTAGATTAAATTGTGGTACTAGTAAAATAAAAGTAAAAGCTCTTTTTTTATGGCTCGAACTACCAACCTGATAGGTTCCAAGGCTCAAATCACTTACAAAATTTCGGAAAAGCTTAGAGCATACACGCAAGTATTGGAAAAACCTGGAAACTTTAGCCCTGATACTCTGGTTAAGACAAAGAAAACACCGCTTTTACCTACTCAAAAACAGTAATACACACTACTATCCCTTTAACATAAATGCAGATATATATAAAGCTATAAAATTTACTCTTATCAGCAAACTCCATGTGTGATGAGACAAGGGGCAGACTGCACAGTGTGAACATGGAAAACTTGTCATTCAATAAAGGATATTACATTCAAAGAACAATAGCAGTGTGTAAGTTTAGTTTGGAATTCTCAGACTCTCTAGAACACAACATCAGTTCAACATCACATCAGATACATAGACCTCATATCACACAACATCAAGTTACTACTACAACTTGTGGACTTTCAAACTCAATCTATACATCAACCAAGAAAACGTACTCCATATCAATAAATAGTTCAAAATCATGCTCCACTTTAACCAAAGTCATTACTACACTGGGTATGACTGATTTAGACGTCAGGTCTGACAGCTACTTAATATGAACAGCAAATTTGCAGAAATACCACCCTTACACTTTACCTTAAAAAAACTAACCCAGAACAACTTTCAAGTACTGGGAACCGAAAGGCAGGCAGAACCTTTTCTTCTATTCCTTAAAAAAAAAGGAATACAAATTTCAATACTGGATTTTTACCAGGTTCCAACCCCGATAATGCAGGCATGCCATTGATAAATACAAGTCAGCCAAACATAAGCAGCATGTTCTAATCCACACATCACAGCAACAGGATCTGCTTATGACATTCCAAAACAAAAAAACCCCACAGTATCCTGGACCTTCATCAGATGGCCCAAAACCGGGAGATACAAATATGCACTCAAATACAACTGCAACCTATAAAACTCTTTATAAAGGTAATCAGTTTACTTCTTATGGTAATAAACCTTCTCATCATAGCATAAAGTATCTTAGATCATCAACATGGGACCCAAAGACCAGTTATATAGATATGTACTTAAATATAACCGAAACCACAAACAGATCTAAACACTCTTACAGATTTCTGTATTCGGATCTGCTTCTAATGGCCAGAAAGAAATAAACTGGTATCAGGCAAAACATCTGAACGTCTGTTAGTGAGCTACTCAAACAGCTCCATACTTCATAACAAGTGTTGGGCATGCAACAGGGAGCTGTGTATTTTTCATTACAACACAATATAAAGGCACATTCTTGTTATCATCACTAGTGAGTGTCATGAGCAAATGTAATTAACATTAAAAGGGGAGGGAGAAAGAGGGGTGGTCATCTGGTTCAAAGTCAACTAGTTCCAAAACTCACTGTACATGATGACACCCTGGAAGGACACCCTCTCGTCTGTTTAAATAGAAATAAAATGTCCTCCAGAGAGGAAGAAATATTAGGGAAAAGTGGCAATCCCACAACAAGCTCAATCTCTTTCTATACAGAAGGAGTCGGATTGTCATTACGCGTTGTTGAGTGCAGATTGGACATATCTGTTTTGTACCAGGACAATATCAGTAAAAGATATTTTCTCTTTATCTAGTATGCACATAATGTTACCCACTGTAGTCAACAGTCATGCCATGATGTAATTCTACATAGAAATCATCTCAGATCTATTAGTTCTCAGAGGCATTTTTAATTGACAAATGATGTTATCGTATGAAGTGCAAATCTTTTGATCTAGACAAGGTCAGATTATTTGTGCACTTTATTACAACATCTCAGTGGAAGGCCAATAATGCATACTTCAAACGAATGAAAAGGGAAAAAATAAAAATTTATTTTCTTTTAACAGATCGTGTACTGCATTTTAAATTACAAACAGAAAGTGGTAAAATGAATCATATTTCAATTGATTTGAAGGAAAGCACACTGACACAATAATGCCACATTAGCACTCAGAAAAAGTAAGACAGACAAACAGAAAGAGCAAAGAAATTAAAAAGATGTAAGACCACCCATTTGGACCCTTCTACCATCCGCATGAAAGATTAAAGTGTGAGCGTTCCTGATTACCATAATCATTATAATGCACAATACTCAAAAGGCATTATCGACATAAAATATCAGTATCTGCCTACAATTTGACAAGTGACTCAGTCTGATGTACTGCGAGACAAGGAATCCTGATTACAAACTCATCTGTTGCTGACAAGAGTCCAATATGGAGGATTCAGTTTTGCTGCATTGTAATGAAGTAGAGACATCTGAACACTGAACATCTTTGTTAAAGATGATGAACCAATTACAGATGACTCATGGGTTCACATTCCAACCATTTGCAGACATCTTTAGACAAAACTATAACACACTGTAAGCCCAATGACATGAATCATCATAGAAGTTTACAAACTTCATTAACAAAATTAAAAGGAATAATTAAATACTTTGGAAGCAACCCTCCCCAAGCATTACCAAACTGGCATAATTACTCCAATCAACTTGTACACCGTTGTCTTGTGCCAATAGGAGACATAATTTTTAAAACACTGCAATACACAAGAAAAAGAAAATGACAGCATACATAAAAAGAGAAATGAATGTTAATTTTCTTCCATTAGTAATAAAAATTTCTGTTGTCCTGTCGATGAATGTAAAGATTTACAAATGCTCTTCATGAGAAATCAAAGCACAGCTACACCACATAATGTAAAAGAAAGATGCAACAATGAGACAAATCATTCATATATAATTTGATCATTTCAGCAACATATACAAAATAATCATGAGGATCACATTACTAATTGCATGAACAACAAAACAATTTACATCCATTGGGGCCAGCTCTTGATCTCCATTTGTCAATGTCTAATGCAAAGTGCAAAATGTTCAACCAAATATATATATATATGATCTTTCGATTCCAGGATTTATGCACCTGCTACAAGACCATGGCAGAAAGACAAAATATAAGTTTTCAGCACAGATTTTGATTTAAAAGGCATATAACATGTAGTCTGAAACAAGAAAAGACTCATGTCACAGACCCAGTTATTAAATGTTAATTCAGAACAGCAGCACTTTTTAAAAAGGCATATATAAATTTTTCGCCTCCCGATTCAATTTCCCCAAAACTAAAGTAAAATCATCAAATTAATGTGATAAAACCACCCCCTTCCCCTTTCAGTTCTTAAATAAATCGCTGTTACTTTCTATTACCACAAAATGTATCAATTTGCCATTTACTGAATTCAGCTCATATTTAGTTATATATTATATATGATAATCTATTGCCTTTTACTCAGTGACATAAGCTTCACAATGACAAGACCCATGACACACCAATACATTGACAACTCCTGCTGCTCTGTAGATAGTGACATATATTTCAGTTGCAGAGTTTATCACTGGGAGAAGGACGGGGGGAAGAACACTGTCGTACAGATACAGGATAAATACATCACAACAGAAACGGAATAGAGGTATGACCTACCAGCGGCAACCTCAAACTACCGCTGTGAAAATGAAAGGGTTCGTATTCCCTCTGGGAAAGTGAAAAAATGGAACCAGGGAACAGAACAACAAGTGACAGAGAAGAAGGGAAATGGTTGTCTCTATGGGAGGGGGGAAGCTGCACTAATGTCAACTGTAATCCTTTCTTTTTTACACGCTGAAGGGGAAGCCAAAACATCATGTCCCTTACACTGGGTTTTGATTAATGTTTATTCTAGCATTAAAATTCCCAGTAAAGCTTTAAATGTCTCTGGTATGAATATTTCAACAGCTAGTCTACCCACCACTCCACAAAATCCACAACAGACTAACCTCTAATTTCCAGATTGAACTTTGAGCAGAAGGTGCAGCTACGCAAACCAAAACTCGTGGATGTGAAATGTGAGTATTGTATAGATTCTTGAGAAGTCAAGGCTCATGACTGTTCATTGTGTTAAGAAAAAGACCTGAGTTAATCAAATGGAAAATATCGTGACAACCAGTGTGCATAACAACATAACGACGGTACCTGGCACAAAGTGGCCAGGTCTGAAATTATTAAAAAAATATATTCATTCCAAGTCCTTGAACTACAACCTGATCAACAATATTGTGTAGACCTGCATCTATCTCAGAAGCAAAATAATGCTACAAACATACTCTCAAATATTGTCACTGAAGTATGTTTCTGACTTGTGCCGAGCAGCTAGCTCTGACGTGGCCACTTTGCTCTCGACACAAATGACAAAGTCTTGATAACAATACAAGAAGCAATTCCAAGAAGAGATTAGACATTTTTTCAGTAACGCCAAGACAAAAGGCACAAAAAAAAAGAGTAAGATTATCTTTTATGAACAAAAGACCCTGCATACAGTCATGTTTTTCACTCCAGTAAACACCCACCCCCAATAAATTAAGAAAAAAAAATTTAATCCCCATTTGTATTTCTCAAACACCATCATTGATCCGTGAAGCATTTGGTAATAAATAGAAAGCAACAATGGCTGTACCACCTCAATGAGGGGAGAAAAAAGTAGCATGGGACATCCCAACCAACAGGAGAAGAGTACCATGAAAATAGTGAGACTAAGAGGAGAAAAAAAACAAACAAACAACAACAAAACCAACATAACCCAGATCTTTGGTAACAAGAGTGAATTCAAGACCAGTAGCCATTATGTTGTTCATTTCTTTCACATTTCGCCTGAATTGAGCTGAACACTCAAAAGGAAAAACAATGGTTCCTTGCATCGCAAAGGACAAAGCTTATATTTATAAGATTTAAATGAACAAAGAACTGAACATTTCGGATGATTCCTAATGAATGGCCTGCCCTGAGATGGATGACATTGAACCCATTAGAACTTTTTAAAATCACCGACTGAAACAGCACTCGCATGTTTTGTGCAAAACCCCACATCACAGCACCCCAGTGTGGTACACACACGTCAAACACGAAAGACTTACACTTAGTCTGTCCGCAAAACAGTTTGGCAAACAAACAGGAAAAAGTGACCAGCAGGGAGACTTAATCTCTTTTGTTTTACTTTCCCTTTATGGCAAGTGAGATGGGAGTCAGGTGAGGTAACAAGAGTTCATAAAACAGGGGTAAAGAGAGATCACAGCTGACGTCTACTGAAGAGACATACTTAATACCTAGAAAGACTTCTGGACATCTATTTGTGGAAAAAAAGCAGATTTTATTTTTTTGCAGGTCCCTCGAGGACTAGGTTGATCTCTTTGTTTCATACATAAAGTTAAAGACCTCTCAGACATGCAGAGGACAAAAAAGGCGCCCCTATCTTAAGAAACCTGCTAAAAATGTTTGATCTGGTATTAATGTTTAAAAAAAAAAAAAATTATCGGCCATGTTGGGGTCTGCCCAGGTATAACATCCAGTCCTCAGGTATCAACAGTCTCTCAGCGCCCCTGACATCTGAGGAGTCTTGGGTGCACCTAAATTACTGTATTTCTCTTGCAATGCAGTCTCCCAGGGTGAGACGATAGTTGGCAATCTCAGAGATCCCGTGGTAATGCACAAACGCTGCAGCCAGCACAAACACATGGAATATCTGGTGGCTCTGAAACTGGAATACAAAGCAGGAGACTTTAGGCATTTTCTTATATAGAAAATGAACAACACATTATCTAAGTCAACATAACCCTCCCCACCAGGGTAGTCCTACTGACTGAAGTTGTCTTTAGGCCATTCCCAAAGGGGGGATATTGTGTTCTTATGTACAGTAAAATTGTAAATGGGCTGATTTATCAATGTCATGCTCATACTGTGCTGGAACAACACAGGAGGAACTGCTGCTTTTTTTTTTCCTCATCCTTACTTACTATTGTCATTTTTCCTCACTTCTTTTGTAAGTTTGTCACTCTCTTGTGAACTGGTATTTCCGGGGTGCCTTGATAGTAGTAGCAGACTTTTGTGCTGTAGAGGCTAGAGAGGTGAGCAGAGTAAGCGCGATTCCCCATTTGGACTTTCCTGTTGACATCCACCCCATGGCGTTCATATGACTTTATGCAAATATGAGAGCCGTAAAAACCTTACTAAACCTAAACTAAGTCAACATGATATTAGTTTAGTAAGAGTTTCATGGCGCTCGCAACTGCAAAAGGTCACAAGAGTGAGCGAAACACAAGTTAGTTGTATTCATGACAGTTCACAGCAAGGCTTGGTTTTATTATATGATTAGTTAAAAATTCCATTTTAGTTTTAAAAATTACAATTTACATTAAAAAAATAACAATTAATAAGTAATACCATTACACTAAATAGTTTCCAACACTGAATTCATTGTAACTGCAGCCACTGAGCCTTTGCCTTTTCGCATGAGGCCACTTTATGGAACTTTTTTTTCTTTCATAAGAATTTTATGGCACTTGCAACACAATAAGGTCCAAAAGTGTTGGAGAAGAGAGGTCTTGCAAGAGAGTAAAAATGGAGGAGAGCTAAGGACAATAGATGTTGGATAGAAAAGAAGGCGCAAACCACATCAGAGCACTCCCCAACCACCCACTTTAAAGAATGTGTAAGGAAGGGGGGGGGGGGGGAGAAATGAGAAATAAGGGTTCACCATAAATAGTCCATTTAAGTGTCTCTGCATGCTGAACACAAATAACTGAGATAATCTCAAACTTAAACAGAAGACATACAAGATAATGACCTTTTAGTAACACAAATAACCATAGCTTATCTTTTCTGTCACAGATTAGATGAAATCAGAAAAACTGGTGACTCAGCATTAATAACCTTGCAAACTTCATGTGACATTTTTTTAAAGTGTCAGAAATTGGGACACATGAGAGGAAAATAGGATACATTGGGTAATAGTTAACCATACTGCATTGTAAAGAAGGAAAGCTTTTCTTTAAATGGGATCTGCATTAACCCAGCCAGGCAGGTTGGAAGGACAGAGCCTTGTCAGGGTACACATAAAACCCCAATAGGCTTGACAGGACTTTGACCTCCGTAAGATAAGAGCAATACCAGTCCAAAACGAACAAAGCCTCTTGCTAACGTGAAGTGCGTGCAGATAATCTTTTGGCCAAATGAAAAATATTTAAGTCCTACAAGAGTCTTCTAAATATTATAATGACCATCAAGAGTAAACGTCGACCCTTTTTTCAAAACAAAATAAAATATTGATATTTTCAGAGTTGTTTCACCCAGAGTCATAGGCTATTTGGCTACGTCGAGGAAAATTCAAACTGCTGGGGGCAATCAAATTATGTTGTGCCAAACTGCCATCACCTCAGAGAAAGTAGGCCAAAACGACTATGGCCATATATACTTTTGCGAAAGTTCTTCAGTTCAAAGTTTCTTCAGACAAGGAGGCCTATGTTTCAAATTTTGCCCCAGCATGCCCAAGTTCTTCAATTTTCAACTGCTAGAATATCTTGAACTCAACCCTCATGCACATGGGACTCCTCGCATGTTCTTATCTGACAAAACAAAATCTTCAATCCACCAACCCTTTGGTAAAGGAAGGAAATACCACAGAAAAAATAAAGTAAATTCTTATCTAACAACACCAAAAGTTTGGAAAGAGAAAAAAAAACACCAAACAAAGCAAACCAATGTTATCAACAAACCATGCATGTAAGAAAAAAACAACAACAACAAACAAACAACAACTGGTAGTAATTAAATTACGTGCTTTGCTTGGAAAAACAAGAAGTAAAGACATAAGCTCTTGAAAAACACCCCTCCCAGGCTGGTAATATGAGACACTGACTTAATTTTTCTCGTTTCTACTGGCAACCTTGAACCTATCACTGACAAAACAATCAGATGCCAGAAACAACCACACCACCAAGTGAACACCTAGAAGTACATATACCAAGGCCCCAAAGCCTCCTGAGTAAAGTACAGTAGAACCACTCTTTTTTTTTTTGGCTGGTGTTTTACGCCTCTCGCAACTGAATATGGTCATATGAATGCGCGGGACATATAAAACATTTTCAGTTGGTTGGAAATTTTGAATTTTGCCCTGGGGGCGGCTGAAGCCTACTCTCATAGATTTTGGATACCCCGTGTAAGTAAGTGCATTTGCTGAATTATCAACCTATCAACCAACTCGACAAAAAAAAAAGTATAAATTTACATACCCAGATGTCAAACTTGCCGGGAAAGATCCTCTCTGGAATGCGCACAGCATAGATGACAGCCCCAACGATGTACAAGACAGCCATGAGCACCAGCCAGCCCAGGGCCGCGTAGTTGATGGCATGCCAGAAGCCGTCAGTGATCACATAGTGCATGGCCGGCACCACTCCACTAAGGCCAAGCGCCACAAACACACCTGTGAGCAGGAAAGTGAAATAAGTAGTTAAATAAAAATAAATGTAAATTATATTCTATTGATCCCTGTGTGGGAATTTGGGTTGTATTGGCAAACATACATACATAAAACACACAATTAGAAACACATACACACATAATTACACAATATTACACCAATACAGAACAAGTTTAGAAACATGCCATTGTTAGTCGCCACTATGCAGCACCTTGTCCTACACACCACTGGACAGCATGATAATTAATTAATAAGGGATCAGGTCTTGTGTTGAAATGGACCAACCCCCCCGTTGACAGCTCCTCAGAGAAATTAGAGTGACCCCCCCCCCAACTAAACTAAAATAAAGATGGATATTGCCCTGGATGGCAGAGAGAAGGAAAGTAAGAAGGCAATGGCAAGGGCAGAAAAACTATGTAGCGTTTTTGTCTTTGTTTCCAAACTTACGGACAAAAACCTCTTTTTTTTAAAAGGCAGATTACACAGTCCTCTGTCCTTCATTTAGAAAGACTTTTAACCAACAACATGCAGGTAACTAACATTTCAACAGCCTGTGGCAACAAGTGCTGGAAAAAGAGCATCATTATTAGTTGGAGACTTGAAATGCAGCATATAGAACCCTAAACGATTGATGATGAAAAAGAAGCATTATCAGTAAATTAAGATATTCATGCTGAGACTGATATGTAAAGACAAAAGATTAGTAGTTTTTCAGAAAACTCAGTAAAGGGAGGGAAAGTCTGCTGAATGGAAACAATATTTCGGACCATTTTGCGTTCACAAAAAGGAAAAACATTTTCTGACATTTACTGGAACGGACACCACGACCAGCTAAAGATACTGAAAACAAATCACGGTTTTGTCTAAAGAAAATGTTCTACACTGTGTTTTCAATGTAAAGAAGAAAGTCTTCAGTATGGTAAAATTTGTATGGCGCTCACAACTGCATTCAGTCATATGAGCACGCTAAAAATGTCTGAATATCAGAAAAGCTCTTGGATATCCTTGAAATGTTCAATAAAGCAACACCCAATCAAGAAAAAGAAAGGGTAACAAAGGCATTTCTCACCTGCTCGGAGTGGTCTGTACTGCGGCTGAGCAAATTTATCCCACATGGAAACGACAATGCAAATGGTCCCTAGGAAGAAAATGAGTGCCAGATAGGTGACTTTTGGCTCCAGCCTGCAGTAGAAGCTGTAGTAGAGCCATGGCACGAACGAGCCGATGGTCAATAGGGCTATACCACAGTAGTCCAGTCTGAGAAATACAAATAGTTTTTTAAAACTTACCATGAGGCTGTGTCAACACAAGCTATGGGGTGGGAAGAGAAACTGGATTGAGATGTGCACATAACACACTCTCCACAAATTGACACACCATACAGTATTAGATGTTAAGTAGGAAAAGGGACACAAAGCATGCTTTGAACAGACAGTTAATAAAATTGTTAAATTGAGTATTCTTAAACACTTCTTTTAAAGAATCACATCTTGACAACATGACAATGGACAAACTGAAATTCTTATGAATGGGAAATTCTCATATCAAGCAGTAAAAAACACTAGCTGGGTCTGCTGCTTCCTCTCACTCATACAGTACAATTGTGGAAAAGAAACACTTTTGGTTGTATTCCCTTTCACCACTTTTCAGAATGATAGTTTAAACAAAATGAAATGGAAGATTTGAAAGGTGGTAGAGACACAAAATTAAATGAAAAAATCTTTTAATCTGTTAAAATAAACACAATATACATGCACGTCAGACAAGAATCCAGGGTTTCTTCATCATTTCTGAACAGATATTTCCTTTCTGCTGATCATGAACCCTGGAGCAGGTGCAGTTTGGTAGCTTTTGCAGTTTAAAAATTACAAGCAAAGGAAATATCAATAGAAAGATAAGCTCCTTACTTGTTAAAGAAGCGTCCCACTTTCTCGCTGTGGCAGTAGACCGTGTGGAACACCCAGGAGAACCCCAGACACAGGATGGCCCCAATGAAGAAGGCAGAAAACACAGCCTTCTCTTGCCACTGGATCTCGATGGAAGGACGGGTGAGGAAGTAGGCAGCTATGCCAAGGAAAGCTATCATGCCTGGTGGAGACGGAAATCAAAAGAGATTTTTTATTAGCAACCATATCATCTAAATCCCAGATCCAATTTACTGTCTACCTATGACAGGAGTTAAAAACAAAAGTTCCAGGATCAAATGCAGTATCCACTGCAAGGGGTTGACTTTTCAGATATGTATGGTTAACCTCACATGCAAATTTGTTACCGCAGTGGAAAAAAATAAACAAATACATTTTGTGCTTGAGATTTTTGCGACAGACTACATTTAAAGACTCCTAACAATTTACTTGGTTATAATCTGTGGTGAAGGGTAATGTCATTTCTGTTGTAGACAGTTGAGATCAGCCAAATACAATAAATATTATGTTCAGGTTTTTAAAAATCATATGAATTCGGTATTTTTTGCAAAGTGATTTGGAGATAAAGGTATGTGAAACAAAAAAAGGCATTTCAAATTTCATCTATGCAATCCAAATCTCCATGCCATTTACTACATAGACATTCAATAAAAGTGCCTCTTACTAAAGTTCAAAGAAGTTTTCCCAAGATTTTGAAACTTTAAAAAGAAAAAAAATCAGTTCTAATGACGTTTTCAGACAGTGATATGCTCCGTGAACATACCTAGCAAATGAGTCCATATGTTGCCTGTCTCAGTGTGGATACGAAATATAGACTTGAAGCAGGCGAGGAAGGAGTTTGTTGGGACACGATGGCCTCTCAGCAAGAAGTCATTATCCTTCAGCCAGTCTGGAAGGGTATGGTGGTGGGCCACATTCCAGCCCGCTGCCCACACCTGTGAGGTTGGGAGAAAATGACAAATCATGACAGTTAGAGGGTGTCATTCAGACCTAGTAAACCTCCGGAAGCTCAATTTATCTTGGGAGACATGATACTGTGGAGGTCTAAATTTTGCCTTATTTTTACAGGAAAATGTAATTTCAGTAGAGCCCTGTGCAAGAATCAAGTAACATACCAGTTACCTCTTTCCTGTTTCAAGGATCTTAAAATTCAAAACAAAAATGAGACAGTAAGCAACATGAAAAAGGAAAACGTCTCTCCAAAGAATAAGGGATGCAAAATATTATAGAATAAAATATATTTTTTGCATCCAGAGCATATTTGATTAAATGACACAAGTTGGCATCTTTAAACAGATAACAAATTACAGTAGATTGAAGGAAGCAGTCTTTAAATTGTTGTTGAACTGCAACATGCAAGCATATTTAACAGAAAACTTACTTGGGCAACAGGTCGCTGGAACATAGTACAAGAGAACCCACCAACTGGCAGGGGATGTATGGGGGTGGGGTTTGTGTGTGTGTGTGTGCGTGTGTGTGCGCGCACGCGCATGTTTGCGTTTCAAACTCAAACCAAGATAATATCATTCTACTCTACTCACTTTCTTGACGAATTCCTCCGCTTGCTCGGCACATTTGCTGGGCACATGGAGCAGCGATGTCTCCACACCGGGAAGATCATCCTCCAACTCAGGAAGTTTGCTGCCCTGAGGACAACAACGGCACAAAATGCAGCTGAGACTTGAGACGTTGAAAGGGGGACAGTTGTTTAGTTTTAGAAACAGTTTTACAGCACTTTCAAAACAAACAAGTCATATTATATATATGTACCAAAGATTAATAGTAACATACAAATATGGAAAGAAGGAGGAGAGATAAGGATAGAAGATGTTTGATAGGAAAGAAGAAGTAAACCACACGAGCACCTACCATCCAAGGAACAGCTGTCAGAGAGTCAAAGAGTATTAGTTGTCAGCATTCGAAATAAGCACATCAACATAATAATGGTCATTTAGGATGGAAAAAAGCAAATCAGACAGAAACAACCAAGGGACAGCACATAAGCCAGGCCCTGCTGTGGCACTCATCACCTACTAATTAAGGAGAACACAGTATAAAAAAACAAACAAAAAAACCCAGAGTAAAGATTAAAGAGTACCAGATAATTGGAGGAAAGCATTTCTATGTTTGAAAAAAAAAAAGCCTTATTTAATAACATTTCATAGAGGGATGCCCATCGTTTGCACTTACATCAATATCAGATCTGAGTAAAGGCCCCAGCTCCCCTGGGGTATGAAGTGGGAAGCTGACCTTCCGCCGGCATGCAACAGGCTCCTCAAGGTCGTCTGACATCGGGAAGGAACTGATGCTCTCTCCTCCACAATCCGTCTCATAGTTGACAGCTAAGCTCGAGGTCTCCGGGCTCAAGCCACTCCCAGAGTCCCCTGTACCAACAGCATCCCGAGTGAACTGAGATGGTCTGCTGTCACCCGTAGCTCCCCCATTTCCTGTTGACATTTCGTTGGAGGGCGTGCTGCTCCGGTTACGCCCTCTCTGCAGCTTTGTGATTTTCTTAAAGTGCTGAACACCGGGTCCTCGATATATGAATAGGTGACGCGTCACGTACAGCTGTTATAATGTGATATCTTCAAGATATACGAATCAGTCCGTGTTTTATTGGAGCCGTATCCTTTGTGTTTCCTTGATGTGAATTTAATTGTATATTTGATGTTTTTTCTTCCAGATTTTTTGTAGGAGTGAAGAAATAATGGACTGCAGTTTCTCTGGATTATATCATAAAATATACCTAGCCCACTTCAAAGAGAATTGTGATATCTGAGAAAGAAAAAAATATTTTCATGTTTATAAAATGTGTTACTACTTCACCTAATGTGTGCAGATCAGTTTAATCAAAACAAATCATTTGTTAAACGAATATAATATAATTCGTATAGTGCACATTCCCACTCAACAGCAACCTCTATGCACTTTACAATCTATATAACCCCAGCAGACCCTAAAACACTCAAAAACATTCTTGGCTTCCTGGGAAGCATACAGTGCAAGCAGCTGATTAGGTGCTCAAACAGTAACAAACTGACAAGATCTTTTGCTCTCTATAGCTGTGTGCCTATTCCCACCTGAGTGAAGTGAGGGCAATTTGTGTAAAGTGACTTTCCTGAGGACACAACTTTAAAGATTTGAAAACCCATGGTCTTTCAGTTGTAAGCTCAATGGTCTAATAACTCGACTACCGATGCCAAGAAAAAAACTAAACTATCAGACTTTTACGTCACTTTCTTTTTTCTACAAGTAACAACCAGGATTCGATTTAAGTCAGGAGACTTATAAATCACCTGCCAATTTGGTGTCTACTGGTAGCACACTTCCAAAAAGTGTTGCTAGATACACCAACGTGGAAGTAGTTTAGTTTTTATTGTTGTTTTAGTAAGTGTTTTACTGCACTTGCAACATAATTAGGTCATTTAGGTGCCGAAGATTGGAGGGGTTACAAGAGAATAAAAACCACAAAAAAGGAGGAAAAGAGATGAGGACAACAGATGTTTGATAGGAATGAAGGAGCAAACCACACCAGAGTACCCACCAACCACTCAATTAGTTTAGTTTGAACAACAAAGAGAAGTAGGTCTACGGAATAACAGCCACTTGGTATGGGACTTGGAAAGAGTATGGTTGACAACTGTTCCACTTTTTAACTGTTTATCTACTGTTTTTGCTTGTTTAACACAGGACCTTCCAGGAGGTCTCCTCTAACCACCCACCAAGACGGTATTCATCATGAACAAGAATTTAAAAAAAAACTACGCTAACTTAGAAAATGAATCAAAATGCTGACTATTCATCACTATTATTTTACAATATCACATAAAGTAGCATCATTGTAACAATGTACCACATATTTCCGAGCTTTTCATAGCTTTACTTTAGTTTAGTTATAGTAAGAGTTTTACGGCACTTGCAACACAATAAGGTCATATTATATATAAGTGCCGAAGAATAGAGGTGTTACAAGAGAGTAATTTGGCGCTCATATGACCTTAAGCAGATGCGAGCGCCGCAAAACCTCTACTAAAACCAAACAAGAGAGTAAAACAAAAAAGGAGAGATAATGACGATAGATCTTTGATAGGAAAGAAGGAACAAACCACACCAGAGCACCCGCCAACCACCTACTTTTCATAGCTAAGAACAGAGGTATACACAAAATTAAAAAAACAAAAAATTTAACAAAATACTTTCACTTTTCAATATATACATTTAAGAAAACAACAAAAAAAGAGTTTTTAAACAGTACAAATCTTAGCACTCGGTACCAGGAGCACTGTAATGCAACACTTCTGACTGTCTTGGACATCCGGTTATAGTTATAAATAGCTCTACTTGTTCATATCATTCAGTATTCCATTATTGACTGACTTTTAAAAATTAACTAGATGAAAAAACACTGACACACACTTGACAAACAATCAGAATGGCAGCATCTGTTACTACTATATATATATATAGCAGATGTTTTCTATGCTTTAAGTCAATCCTCTTCCATCAGATTCAGAACACCTTACTCAAAGGGTGATAGGTTTGTACAATGTCGGAGCACACAGAGATCTTTCTTTCCAATAAGACAGAACTGATTTTTCAACAACAAACTATCCTTCCAAGTATGCAAGAACAAACTACAGCAATTACTATGAAATTTGCTGCTCAACAAATCAAAATCAGTTTCCACATTTGTTTTTGTAGATGAAGTATGAATAACATCATGTCATATCTGAAGCATGATATATATATATATATATATATATATATATATATATATATATATATATATATATATATATATATATATAGAAAGCAAATCAACAGAAATAGTTTCAGTTGTACTGCGTTGTATCAGACTCATGAGGAACGATCATGTACAGAGGGCAGAGGTCCAAATGTTGAGAGATTACCAGTGATTGATAGGTGAAGGTCTTCAACGAGATCAAATCGCACGTCATATTCATTCATACTTCACTGACGTGTTATCTAATGCTTGGCTGTACGATGTTGAATAAGGACTTTGTCCTTAATTGATGACAACTCATCACTAAATTTATCCAGCTTCCAAGAAGTTTACTACAAACTTGTCTTGAACAACTTTCATCATTGCAAACTTTTAAACAAAAAAAAATCGAAACCGGCTTCAGGTGGTTGTAATTCCAAGGTTATTAGATAAGCTTGATAGCGAGAGCCTAATCCTGAGTATTATTTCATTTTTAAACAAATTAAGTTATACATTGAAAACTGACACGTCATCATTGCCTTCTTGACATAAATATGAACTTTGATTCATAAAAAAATTCCAATGACTGACTTTACTGTCCTGAGTTTATACTCTTGACCTACTACAAACTACAAGTAGTTCAAGAATGTGACGATAAGTATGAAAACGAAGTAAAATAATAATTATACTTGCATTTTGTTGGCTGAAAGTCTCAGTTCTACAACAAATAAACACCCTTGTTTGAGAATGTATGATGTGTAAGTTCAAGCACAAGGATAGCATTAAATACATTGTCACTGTCACCAGAAAAACAATCTCATCTCTTTTGATTCTGGACAGGGTGAAAAATATTAAAAGTAGACCAAATTTTTCATATATTATGTCAGTGGTGAAATAAAACTAGTCTGTTGGCGAGCATAATGTGTGAGTCTTTCAGAATGCGTGTCTAACTGTGAATGACTTTCAAAAAGGGCAATGACTCTGATATTTTGGTTGATAATACTCTGCGAAACCCTATACCTGTTGTAAAAATTTCCCTCCCATCTTTACCAAGGACACGCTTGAAGAACAGAGAATTCAAAATGGGGGGTAAGATATCAACCCCACGTATCATTTTCCCTTAGCAGAGTATCACTTTTCACAAGCCCACATAATGGCCGTAGTACCATTTTGAAAGAATGCAAGTCATGTGTTTACAACAGAACTTATACCATACCCAGAGATCCATAGTCACTTGTAACTTTTAGTCTAGTTTAGTTTTGGTAAGAGTTTTACAGCACTTGCATAACAAATAGATCACAAGTTCAGAAGAATAATGGTATTCCTAGAGAGCAAAACAGACAAGGAGGAGAAGAATGGACGGATGATAGATGTCTGATATGAAAGAAGGAGCAAACCATACCAGAGCACTCGCCAACCACCCTTAACTACAGTCTTCCTAACACACAAAACAAATCCGCACAACAACGATTTACTCAGTGTCATAAAAAAGCAAGAGGACCGACAAAAATAACAATGCGATGAAAGTATGTATGCATAAAGACCCATCATTACGGTACAGAAGGGTCCCCTCTGATGAGGGGCTATTTTTGTCTCCTAAGCTTCACATGGCCAGACACACCACCTGTCACATTGTCTCTTCTCTAACATTCAAGCACATATCTTATCATTATCAGGACCCATTTGCATCCCATTTTTTGCATCTTGTATTCTACTTCCCCACGACAGCAGACCAACACTCAGAAACTTTTCAGATATCTGAACGACCTCTTGATCCACATTCCACAACGAAACCCAACAGCTCAGACAGTGCCAATATATCGTACAATTAGAGCTGAATTTTCCAATCCGGCCACCCATGGTTAAAGAGAGAATTGTTTGTTTTACTCAGTGTCACTGTTAGATAAGCTCAGTGCTTATTATACTCATAGGGGATTGAACGCTATATAAATGCAATATATAATAATAATAATTATTATTATAAAAAATAACCCAAGGGAGGAGTGGGTCGTTTGTACGGGAGTCTGTCTTAGGAAGCCATTTTAGACAGAATTTCCTGTCAACTGAAAAAGTTTGTTGAGTCCCGTATATCCTCATATATGACCTTTATGCAGTTGCAAGCACCATTAAAACACTTACAACAACTCCCCCCCCAAAAAAACAAAACAACAACAACACAAAAACAACCCCCACCCATTGTTTTGTTGAGGAGAAAAAAGGTTGTCATAGATTGGTGGATACCTTGAACGATGTCCTTATTATGTAAAAAAAGCCAAAAAATCACATGTTGGGAAGTGGAAAGTGGTCATTTGTACAGATGACTGTCAATGACAGGTGTCCGTTTGAGCAGGTTTAACTAGTTATTTTAGAGTGTAACACCTGCACTGTATACAGTATACACATATATATATAAGAAATCAAAAGAACCCAAACAACGACTGCAGACAGAAGAAACAGACACCAAAAAAAACTGCATGTTACTATTAGAGAGTCAACAATATTATTAAAGTAAAAAGTCATCAAATGAAAATGTCTGAAAATAATATTGAAGATAAAATGAACGCGACAATGTGTATTTCTCTATTTAAAATCAGCACACAACAGACCTTTCAATAGCTTACAACACCACTTCATTTCATACAACAATGATTCTAATTGAATCTTAGCTACCACTACCAGGGCAACAGATGTAGCCCCCAGCCCCATAATAAATAATTGATCTTGATGGTGGCTAGTGGCACTCAAACACAATGCGGACGTCAGCTGCTAAAATGGATTCTGCCATGAAATTCATGAAAATGAAGGGAACTACCTGATATAACGTCTTGATGCACATTCCTTTAATTTGTAATTACATCTTGATATGGATTTATGCTTGAGAATGAAAATGACTTACACCCCCCCCCCCCCCACACACACACACACATTTTCAAATATACATATATATATACCACTGACAGTTCATGGACTGGTTCTGAGCATGTGTGCACAGCTTGATGTGATAGAGATATCACAAAAAGGACATTTCACAGCAAAAAGTATTTTACTTTTA